TTGAAGAGGCACGAATGGAGGGCGAAAGGGAGAAGCGTGCCAAGAGGAAGGTGCGTCAAGCCAACCCCAACCGAGACCACCTTCCACCTGGAAACCAATGCCCTCACTCTGGAAGAAGATGCAGAGCAAGAATAGGGCTCCACAGCCACATACGGACCCATAAGAATACTGGAAGACAATCCTCCTCGGAAAATGAGGGATCGCCTTAATAATAATACAAGTAAGGAAACACTATAAGTACTTCTTGGATGGGAGATTTAAAAAACTAAGGTCAATCATGACCTGGCACAAAGTTGAAGGATCTTCTTTCTTTCCCTAAAACATGCCCATGACCCAAATCAACAACACTGTTACGGATACAAAATGATACTGCCTCAAGTGCCTATTAAGAGGATCGGCACATCTGGGTCAGGGGTATGAACGATGATGAGTCATGGTCATGCTAAGCTTGGATGTTGGGGTCCAGAAGGCAGTCACGATGCCTTTATTTCTGAGAGTTCTGCAGAAAGGATAGATTTGGTAAGCGGAGCTTGTTATGAAACAATGAAGTGAGCACCACCAGTTTCTTTTGTGCAGCTATTAAATTACACCAGTGTCTTTCAACCACACACAGATATGTTAAGGAACAAATATATGGCTTAACCTTTCCAGATACAAAGAGAAGTCAAAATATGATATTGACCATCTGTTGTGAGCCCAGCAGTCTTTTAAAAAAGCACAAATGTGCACAGAAACCAAATCTTTCCATTAGCGTTCCTTTCGCTCAAATCACAGGGGAAAAAATCACTGCTGCTAGTCCGATGCTATACTTTATTTAAAGGGACAGCATCACCATGACTGAGCAGGAAGAACACAGATTCAGCATCTGGTGTTTAGAATCGGAAAGCATCCTAATGTGCTAGAGAAAAGATTGGAAAATGTGAGATGACCTCCCAAGAGATAACAGTAGCACTAAACTTCCTATTTATTTATTTATTTATTTACAGCTTTTATATTCCGCCCTTCTCAGCCCGCAGGGGACTCAGGGCGGATTACAGTGTACACATATATGGCAAACATTCAATGCCAATTTTTGACATACAAACATATGCAGACATACACAGAGGCTATTTAACTTTTTCTGGCCGCCAGGGGAGCTGTCGCTTTCATCGTCCATCTGCGATGCTGATGAAGCACTTCCGCATTCCCCGCATGCTTCCCCGCTGGAATGCTTTGCTGGAGTCTTCTTTATGGCCTCATAAATCAGTTAATTTAGCCTCCCCACACTTTAAGGTGGTACCTTATTTTCCTACTTGACACATGCATCTGTCTTTCGGGTTGCAAAGGTCGACAACAGGCTACACACAATTGGTTGGAAACCCATTCCAACCTGGGCTGGCTTCGAACTCATGACCTTTTTGGTCAGAGTGATCTTCATGCAGCCGACACTCAGCCAGCTGCCCCACAATCCCGGTGCTAGCTGAATTTCAGCATCTCCTCTAGTCCTTAAACCAGAGGTCCTCAAACTAAGGCCCGGGGGCCGGATACGGCCCTTCAAGGTCATTTACTCGGCCCTTACTCAGGGTCAATCATAGCCTGAAATGATTTGAAAGCACACAACAACAACAATCCTATCTCATCAGCCAAAAGCAGGTCCACACTTCCCATTGAAATACTAATAAGTTTATATTTGTTAAAATTGTTCTTCATTTTAATTATTGTATTGCTTTAAAGTGTTTTCTGCACTACAAATGAGATATGTGCAGGGTTGTTGTAGGTTTTTTGGGCTGTATGGCCATGTTCTAGAAGCATTCTCTCCTGATGTTTTGCCTGCATCTATGGCAGGCATCCTCAGAGGTTTGTGAGGTCTGTTGGAAACTAGGAAAATGGGGTTGATATATCTATGGAATGTCCAGTGTGCATGGAAATTCATTCATGTTTTTTTTCAAATTATAATCCAGCCCTCCAACAGTTTGAGGGACTGTGACCTGGCCCTCTGTTTAAAAAGTTTGAGGACCTCTGCCCTAAACGTTGCCTTCTCTTTCTCATATTTTGCTTCTGAAAAACTCCAGTTGCTTATTTAAAAATTAAATACAATTTCTTCACTCTTGACGATGCATTAGCCAAAGCAGCCAACCATATAGATATACTGCACAGGTTAGAAGCTAAAGACCATAATCAGATTAGGAATTGGAGGATATGTATTATCGAAGGCTTTCATGGCCGGAATCACTGGGTTGTTGTAGGTTTTTTCGGGCTATATGGCCATGTTCTAGAGGCATTCTCTCCTGACATTTCGCCTGCATCTATGGCAAGCATCCTCAGAGGTAGTGAGGTAGTGAGGACCTCACTACCTCTGAGGATGCTTGCCATAGATGCAGGCGAAATGTCAGGAGATAATGCCTCTAGAACAGTGTTTCTCAACCTGGGGGTCGGGACCCTGAGGGGGTCGTGGGGGGGGGGGGGGGGGGGGGGGGGTGTCAAAGGGGTCGCCAATGTCCATCAGAAAACATAGTATTTTCTGTTGGTCATTGGGATTCTGTGTGGGAAGTTTGACCCAATTCTATTGTTGGTTGAGTTCAGAATGCTCTTTGATTGTAGGTGAACTATAAATCCCAATATCAACAACTCCCAAATGTCAAGGTCTATTTTTCCCAGACTCCATCAGTGCTCACATTTGGGCATATTGAGTATTCATGCCAAGTTTGGTCCAGATCCGTCATTGCATGAATCCACAGCACTCCTCTGGATATAGGTGAACTACAACTCCCAATCTCAAGGTCAATGCCCACAAAACCCTTCCAGTGTTTTGTAATCATCATGGGAGTTCTGTGTGCCAAGTTCGGTTTAAATCCATCGCTGGTGGAGTTCAGAATGCTCTTTGATTATAAGTGTACTATAAATCCCAGCAACTACAACTCCCAAATTACAAAATCAATCCTCCCCCAACCCCACTAGCATTCACATTTGGACATATTTGGTATTCATGCTCAATTTAGTCCAGTGAATGAAAATACATCCTGCATATCTGATATTTACATTACGATTTATAAAGTAGTAAAATGACAGGTATCAAGTAGCAACGAAAACAATATTATGGTTGGGGGTCACCGCAACATATGGAANCTTGGCTGTCCAGACCTTGAATCGGTGAGAAGAAGCTAATTGAAAGAAGAAGGTAATTGAAACAGGCTACTATAAACATTATTGCAAAAATTTTAACTGATGAGAAGAACCCTGAAATGATGAGAAGATGAGAAGATCTGGAGTTCTGACAGTGAGACCCCCTTTTCTGGCCAACAGTTGTACTTACAGTCATCTTCGTCCATTTCGGTTTGATTCCTAAAGAAAAGAGATAATATTAGCATCATTTCTTTGATTTCAATGGGAAAAAATTCAGGATATTACTTCATACATTGTACCTTTGATGTATTTCAGGTGTTTTCCCTGCAACGAGATAAGCATGCATTGTGAGGCTTCAGTGCTCTTGCAAATCGCAACGTCCCCTTTGCACCCACTCCAAGCCGTTCGTCTCTCATTACCTTTGGATTTCTTCTTCCAGCAAAGAAATAAGATTATCCCGCCGAGAAGAAAGAGACCGCCTATCACTCCTAGGGAAATCTCTCCCACATGTTTGCAACCAGGTGCTTAAGAAATAAAACAAGAGATTAACAGCATATTAGCAGCAGGGAAAATGATTTAACAGCTTCAGGCCAAGCACTGGACTAACGTTCATCTATACCAGCTATGGGCAAACCAAAGCCCGGGGGCCAGATACAGCCACTTGGACTCTTTTCTCAGGCCCCCCTCTCTCACACCATCCCATTCTTCCTTCCTTCTCTCTTTCCTTCCCTCCCTCTTTCTCCCTCCTTTCCACCCTTTCATCCCTTCCACTAGGCCTGTGCGGTTTCGTTCGTTAATTCGTTAATTCGTTATTAATTCGTTATTTTTGGCATTTCCAAAGCGATATTGAAACATATTTCCAAACCCGGAAGGGTTTTTAAATATCGAACCAGCAACCCCCATAGTTTTAACGAGCCTCCGCTCGTTTCGTTAATGGGGTGGAGGCTGCTGGAGTGCTGGTGCCTGGGAGCCAATCCGGCGCTCCCAAGCAGTGCACCATGGGTCCGTGGCTGTCTGTTTTTGATTGGCCGGCGAGCCCTTTCAAAGCGGCTCCGCGCGGCCCGTAGCTTGCTGCAGAGGGCGAGGGAGTTTGCATTGGGTTGGCTTGGCAATGGCTGCTAGCAACTGGGATTGGATTCATTCCTTGCTGCTGTGAGTGCTGCTTGCTTCATTTGCTGTCTCTTGCCTGTGTTTGGTCCACATTTGGGCCATTTTTTGGTTAATTTTCCATTTTAAAATATTTTAATATTATTTTTAATATTATTTTTAATATTATTTTTTAATATTATTTTTAATATTATTCTTAAAAAATATTCTAAAAAAGAAAAGACTCTTCTGTTGGTGTGTGCTCTCATTTGCTGTATCCTGCCTGTGTTTGGTCCACATTTGGGCCATTTTTTGGTTAATTTTCCATTTTAAAATATTTTTTAATATTATTTTAATATTATTCTTAAAAATACAAAAATATTCTAAAAATTCGTTAATATTTACGAAATTTCTTAAATACCAAAACTTTTTTGGGAAAGTTTTGTAATTATTTTAAATATCGAAACAAAAAAACACCCCAATTACAAATCGATTTTAGAAACAATTTTTTTCTTGATCAAACAGACCTACCTTCCACCCTTTTCTCCTTCCCTCCCTTTTGTCTTTCTTTCCTTTCCCCTTCCCTCCCTTCCCACCCTCTTTCTCCTTCCATCTTTCCCTTCCACTCTTAGGACCTTCCTTCCCTCTTTCCTCCTTCTCTCCCTCATTCTCTTTCCTTCCTTTCCTTTTGTCTTTCTTTCCTTCTCTTTCCTTTATCCTTCCCTTCCTTCCATCTTCCCTTCCACCGTTTCATCCTTCCTTCACATTTGTCTTTCCTTTCTTATTTATTTATTTATTTATTTACTTACTTACTTTGCTTGTATAGCGCAGTTTCTCAGCCCGTAGGCGACTCAACGCGGTTCACAACAAGAGCAAAAGACAATCATAACAATATACAATTTAAAAACCATTAAGAGCATGATATACAAAGTAATGACACATCAATAACAACACATTAACGTCTCGTAACTAGAATCGTGATCCAATTCGTCGTCTATAATTCCGTTCCTATATTCATCGTATTCATTGCACTGTTTATCCGAATGCCTGTTCAAACAGCCAGGTTTTTAGTTTCCTTCGAAACACCATTAACGAAGGAGCTGATCTAATGTCCATGGGAAGGGCGTTCCACAGCCGAGGGGCCACCACAGAGAAGTCATTGTAGGCCCATATAATGCATTTCAATGCAGTCAGACCACACTATGTGCATACAACACTGACCATCCTTCCCTTCTTCCCTTTCATCCTTCTTTCCTTTCCTTTTGTCTTTCTTTCATTCTCTCTTTTCTTTATTCTTTCCTTCCTTCCATGTTCCCTTCCACTATTTAATCCTTCCTTCCCTTTTGTCTTTCCTTCTGTGGCGAAGGAGAGAGACTATTACCTTATTAAAAACCTCTTTGCTGCCTTATACTGATTCAGTTTCTTCTTTTATATTGGCTGGGACTTTCTGTGTGCTGTTAAACCTTTGTACTTTATATCACAGGCAATGAAACACTCTTGTGTATAACAAAGTAACACAGTTTATTTATAACTTCTGACTCCAACGCTTGTGGTTACATTTGTCTTTTGTTGCAATCTTGAGGCTTACAGTCAGTATCATTTACTTGGTTTACTTTTCTGAATAAACTATCAATGTTTCACATTCACAAACATGTTACTTGCTTTACACACTCTTGGCTGAATTATATTCTGACTCAGGCAACACTAGCCTTCTTTATGTTCCTTAAAACTCGAGCTCTATTTAACTAACCGCTTCTCTATATCAGAAGTCTTTAAAATTCGTTAATTTTTGCATATACGAAACGATAACAAAACATATTTTCAAACCCGGAAGGGTTTTTAAATATCGAAACGGCACCCCCCACAGTTTTTACGAGCTTTCGCCCGTTTCGTAAATGGGGCGGGCGGCGCGAGCGCGCACCCAGTGAGCTTGCTTGCTTGCTCGCTCCTCCAAACAGTCGAAAGAGAGGGAGAGAGGGAAAAAAGTGTGCTGTCTCTTTAAGGCAGGAGCGCGTCGCGGGAGAAAGGATCCTCCGGCTCCGCCCCTCGCCTGCCAATCACCCGGCTGCGCCTTTGACATGGCCGCTTTTGGTGAAGGGAGTCTCTACCCGCGCGCGCACACACAGGCGCACGCTTGGTGGTTGGGGTCTTTTTTTCCTCCTCCTCAGCTCAACCCATCCAGTGGCGCTGCTGCTTCTGTCTCTCTCTCTCAGGCTGGGCTGGCAGCTAGTCAAACTTTCCTGAGGCAGGAGGGCCAAGTTAGGGAGTTTCCTGCAGCCGCTGGCCCCTTCCTGCATTCCCTCTTCTCTCTTCCTCCCTTTTCCAGATCCTTCCTTCCTTCCTTCCTTCCTTCCTTCCTTCCTTCCTTCCTTCCTTTTCACTCTCAAAGTGGCACCCCATCTGAATTATGCTTGGTTTTTTGGCGAATTTTGACACACCAAGCTCAAAAGGTTGCCCATCACTGCAGTGAGCCAAGCCCCGCCCCTGCCTGTTGGGCGCGAGCGCGGCTCCCGATTGGCCGGCCCGCGCGCGCTCGCCCTTAGGGCACTGGTGGAGTTTGGGGGAAATAGACATTGACATTTGGGAGTTGTAGTTACTGGGATTTATAGTTCACCTATAATCAAAGAGCATTCTGAACCCCACCAACGATGGAATTGAACCAAACTTGGCACACAGGCAGTTCTCCCATGACCAACAGAAAATACCGGAAGGGTTTGGTGGGCAGTGTCCTTTGGTTTTGGAGTTGTAGTTCACCTACATCCAGAGATCACTGTGGACTCAAACAATGATGGATCTGGACCAAACTCTACACGAATATTCAACTTCCTCTCTTTCCTTCTTCCTTCCCTCACTTTCCTCCTTTCTTTCCTTCCACCCTTTCATCCTTCCTTCCCTCTCTCTCTTTCTTCTTCCTTCCCCCCCTAGCGCCCCGCTCTTGCTCCCGCCTGCCGCCCGCCCTCAGTTCTTCTCCTGGCCGCGGCTGGGGCTTCTGGGGGTCCGGCGGGGAAGAGGATGGAGCCGGATGCCGACTGGAGCGGAGGCGGAGGCGGGGGAGAAGCAGCTAGGCCGCGGGAGGCCTGCGCCTGGCCATGGGTGAGGACTAAGCGAGGTGCGGCGCGCCGGTGGGCATGGCCAGGCAGCGCTGGCTTCCCTGGGCCGGCATCTGGGGGGGAAGGGAGGGAAGGAGGGAGGGGGAAGGAGAAGGAAGGGGAAGGGGAGAGAAAGGGGGAAGGGGAAGGAAGGAAGCATTCTCTCCTGACGTTTTGCCTGCATGTATGGCAGGCATCCTCAGAAATAACGAAGCTTCGGAAGTGTTTTTTACGCATGCGCGGGGTCCGCCATCTTTACAAAATGTTTTGTAAATATTTACGAAATTTCGTAAATACTGAAACTTTTTTTTGGAAAGTTTTGTAATTATTTTAAATATCGAAACAAAAAAACACCCCAATTACAAATCGATTTTAGAACCAAATTTTTTCTGGTCAACCAGGCCTAATTGATAGAATCACTAATTCAGCAGTCTTGCACTCTCATAACTGCTTATGTTGCTAGACTGTAGGCAGCTCAAAAACTCAACTATCCTCATCACACTACTCAGATTCTAACTGTCTTTTTACTCTATCACTCTAACTGCTGCTCTTCGAAACCTTGGGCTCCACCCTTTGGATATGTCCCCAGCTCTGCTCTCGCCCTACTGTCATATTTGCCTAGCAGTCTTTTTCAAAAATCGCTGGCGCTAACGGCTACATCTTGCATATGACCAATGCACTACACATTGCACATGTCCCATATCTCTGCTGTTGGCTTTATTAAGCTTGTCTTACTCTATTCTTTCGGCGATCCTCCATATGTAAGAGCATAGAGCTATAAGCACGGCTAAAATTTAAGCATAGAGTAGGCATGTTGCTACACCTTGCGCATTTTGGGCTCCTTCCTTCTCTCCCATCTTTCTGCCTTCTACTCGCTTCCTTTGCCTCCCTTTCTATCGCTTCTTCTGGGTCATCCCTTTCCTGCGCTCTCTCAGATCGCTCATACTCTCCTTCTTCCTGGTTAAGGAAGAATCATAGAATCATAGAATCAAAGAGTTGGAAGAGACCTCATGGGCCATCCAGTCCAACCCCCTGCCAAGAAGCAGGAATATTGCATTCAAATCACCCCTGACAGATGGCCATCCAGCCTCTGTTTAAAAGCTTCCAAAGAAGGAGCCTCCACCACACTCCGGGGCAGAGAGTTCCACTGCTGAATGGCTCTCACAGTCAGGAAGTTCTTCCTCATGTTCAGATGGAATCTCCTCTCTTGTAGTTTGAAGCCATTGTTCCGCGTCCTAGTCTCCAGGGAAGCAGAAAACAAGCTTGCTCCCTCCTCCCTGTGGCTTCCTCTCACATATTTATACATGGCTATCATATCCCCTCTCAGCCTTCTCTTCTTCAGGCTAAACATGCCCAGCTCCTTAAGCCGCTCCTCATAGGGCTTGTTCTCCAGACCCTTGATCATTTTAGTCGCCCTCCTCTGGACACATTCCAGCTTATCAATATCTCTCTTGAATTGTGGTGCCCAGAATTGGACACAATATTCCAGGTGTGGTCTAACCAAAGCAGAATAGAGGGGTAGCATTACTTCCCTAGATCTAGACACTGCTCCTATTGATGCAGGCCAAAATCCCATTGGCTTTTTTTGCCGCCACATCACATTGTTGGCTCATGTTTAACTTGTTGTCCACGAGGACTCCAAGATCTTTTTCACACGTACTGCTCTCGAGCCAGGCATCTCCCCATTCTGTAACTTTGCATTTCATTTTTTTTCTGCCAAAGTGGAGTATCTTGCATTTGTCCCTGTTGAATTTTATTTTGTTAGTTTTGGCCAATCATCTCTCTAATCTGTCAAGATCATGTTGAATCCTGCTCCTGTCCTCTGGAGTATTGGCTATCCCTCCCAATTTGGTGTCGTCTGCAAACTTGATGATCCTGCCTTCTAGCCCTTCATCTAAGTCATTAATAAAGATGTTGAACAGGACCGGGCCCAGGACGGAACCCTGCTGATGGCACTCCACTCGTCACTTCTTTCCAGGATGAAGAGGAAGCATTGGGGAGAATCACCCTCTGGGTTCGTCCATTTAACCAATTACTGATCCACCCCACCGTAGTTTTGACTAGCCCACATTGGACTAGTTTAAACAGAGGCTGGATGGCCATCTGTCAGGGGTGATTTGAATGCAAGTATCGTATGTATTGTAAAGTTTCGAACTTTTTTTCCATTGAAAATAAGAATTGACTTTAGATACGAACCACCAGCGCCCCCTATATATGAAACGAGTTTAGAACCAATTTCTTTCTTGATCAACCAAGCCTAATAGATAGATAGATAGATAGATAGATAGATAGATAAATGAACATAAGTACAAATCCCCCAAAACAATAAGATCAGAAGAGAGTTTACGATCTCACAACTATTGGATTGCATACACCATCATCACAACATCATAGTTCTAGACTTACATGATGCCAAAGGTTCTTCTTGCACGTTTACAGAAACGTTGGTTACTATCATCCACACTGGATGAGATTTGAAGACACCAACTATGCACAAATATTTTCCGCTGTCAGAAGAAGTGGCATTGACGATTGTGATCTCATGGCTCTGATTTAGTCCTGCGACATCCAAAGGTGTTGAGTTATTCAGCCTTCTCCCTTTGATACCAGCATCCACGCAACAGTTGATATCATAAGAAAATGTACGCAAGTTATAGGAGGCTACTTCATTCGAAGCAGAAAAAAGACACGTGCTCTCATCGGTTTCCTTAATCCAATACACAGCAAATATATTTCTTTCTTTCTCCAGTTCAAACTTGCAAGGAAGACTCAAATTCTGTTCCTCCTGTGTTATGTTTATACTGTACACTTTTGTCTCTGCAGTGCAAAATAAGACAAGATTATGAGCATAATGTGTTGCGCAGAATCAATTTGTTGCGCAGTAGCAATGTCCAACATGTCCAAAACCCAATACCAAAGACACAGACCAGTCAGAAGAAATAAAACTGTAGAACTTTACTCTTGGTTGTCGAGTTGAAAATGAAACAGCTTGGCACACTTACATAGTCTCTGTAAGTAATACAGAATAAATCTTCTGTGTTATAAATCATAGAGCATAACAAAATAAAGCATGGTTACTTCACCATAGCATAAGCTTCTTGCATCTGCTCTCCAGCAAATCAAACAGCCAACTGCTAACAGTTTGCAAAAGCCTCAGAAAACTGTTACATTCAAGAGGTGTGGCCCAGCCTTGCTGAGCTGAGCTAGTTTTTGCAGCTGCAGTTAATCATTAACACTTTGCAAGGCTTTTCTGCAAGGTTTCCTTTAACACACACACACTGGACTTACAACAATATACCGTAATATAATGTACTGGCCAAGATACTACATCAAGACTGGGAGGTCTCTGCATGCTCTGATCAAACATTTTGGGTCAAATGGCAGTATTGAATGAAGTAGGTATTCTACCTTCCCTCCATACCAACTGTCACTGCCCCAGCCTGCAAGGGAGAGAAGAAGAAGCAGGCACAGCTCAATCATATCTAGGTCTTTCTCCATTCTAACTGCCACTGCCTTGGCCTCAGAGGAAGAAGATGCAGGGACAGTCCTATCATGACTTGAACTAGTTTCAGATGAAAATCCTTCATCCTTTCTAACTCCCATTGCTCTGCCATTGAAATGAGAGAAGCAACATATTCACCTCCATAAATTCCCTGTCCAGAAGCAGATAAAAGGCCCACATATTTCACCTCCATAAAAAATTCCCTGTCCCCCAGAAGCAAGATAAAAGGCCCCTTCTTCCCCATCCAACTAGCCCCATTGGGCCCCACCGCTTTTTCCAGAGGGTGGGGAAGAAAGAAGGATAGTGGGGGGATACAAGTCCCGCGCTACATGGTCCTCGATCATAGCAAGCGGTTTTTAAACCAAGCCAAGACCCAGAAAAAAAATTTTGCAGACAAAACAGTGCCCCTCCTTTCCATCCTCAAGTGGCCCACCTTGTCCTCACATCCCACTGCCCCCCAAACATGCCCCCAATTTTGGCCTTTGGTTTTGAGAGGGCGAAGAAAAGACAAGCACAGTCTTTTCCACCCCAAAGCCAGAAGTGCAAGAAGTGAGGCTACATTGTGTAACACTGGGAAGGCACTGGGACCCAACTGGGACCCAACTGGGAGGAAGGAGAACAAGGTAAAATCCTCCAAACTTGGGTCCCTCAAGAGGGGAGAGAAGAGGCAAAACACAGCTCTGGGACCCATGCCCAAAGGCCCCCAGAAGCAAGACAAGGATCCTCCCTTCCAAACAACTGCCAACTGTTTTTCCCTCTGGCCCCATTTCCCCAACTGGGGGGGGGGGGGACCATTTGGAGATCCTGATCCTCAAGAGAGAAGAAGAAAGAGAGGCAAGTACAGTTTTCCTACCCGTGGGGGGGCCCAAGGGCCAGAAGCATACCGAAATGCCTTTTATCCTTCTAAATCCCAACTGCCCACTGTCCCCCCCCTCCATCCCAACTGGGGGCCCATTGGCCCCTGGGTCCCCCCTTCAGAGAGTGAAGAAGAAGGCAAAAGCCAGATTCCACCAATCTGCCCCAAGGCAAAAGGAGGCCAGACCAAGGGGCCCTTTCCAAAAAAACCCGTTCTAAAATCCCAACGTGGCCAATTGGGGTTCCCCCTCCGATCCCATCCCCCCAACTGGGTGGGCCATTTTGGAAACCTGGGTCTCAAGAAGAGGGTTAAAGCCAAAGAGGCAAGGCATAGCTCCAACCCAAAATGGGGCAAAAGCCCAGGAAAGCAGGATGGAAGGCCCCCTCCCCTTTCCATCCAAAAAAAAAAGAAAACCAACTGCCACTGGGGGCCCTCCAATAAAAAAACAAATCACCCCAACTTGCTTGGCCATTGGGCCCCTGGGGTTCCCCCTCAGAGAGAGAGAGAGGCAAGTACAGTTTTTTTACCAAACAACGTGCTCAAGGCCCAAGAAAAAGCAGATGGTGTTAAAAGAAGTTCTTCCAAAAAAAAAAGAAAAGAAAGATAGGCTGAACTGTGAGTCCCCTTGAAGGGAATGCAACACCTCAGAGGTAATGCCTTTGATCTGCAATTGGTAGCACTAACAGAAACACACTTGGCACTTTAAATATTGATGAGATATTTGCAGAGCCCCCATTAGAAGTCGGGCTTCACTTGCTACTGGAAGTGGGGGAAAAAACATGAACTTCAAAGACTCTACAGGGGTCCTGATCTCAAGAGTCTTTAAAGCACCTGAAAGTATATCAATCCAAGAGAGGGGGTTTGCCCTAAGTTTGATATTTTATACTGACAGTTGTTAACATAGGGATCTTTGGAAAAACTACAAGTGTCATAACTTCTTCTGTAGTATTCAT